CTTTCCTTTTAAAAAATGTTAAGGTGTCATAGTTTACAAAATACTGAAGCCAATACTGTCACAGTTACGGGGCTACTACACCAATCCTTCATAACTGTGCAGTACACACACACACACATTCTATCCCATGCACACATTCACACACAAATACTATAAATATTTTTTTAAAAGAAGTGTAGTTCTCCTGGTAAATTAGGTTAGAAACTCCTTCCTTCTCTTTAGGCATTTTTCGCACTCTTCTTCTTCTTCTTCTTCTTCTTCTTCTTCTTCTTCTTCTTCTTCTTCTTCTTCTTCTTCTTCTTCTTCTTTCTTCTTCTTCTTCTTCCTCCTCCTCCTCCTCCTCCTCCTCCTTGTTTGTTTTTGGGATACATCTAAGTATGGTCAGAGATAACTCCTGTATCTGTGCTCAGGGATCAGTCCTGATGGAGCCTGGGGGACCATATGTGGTTCTAGGAATCTAACCTGAGTCACCAACGTGAAAGGGAACCCCTTTCCCCCAGCCCCTCCAACTGTACTGCTGTACTGTCTAATATCTCTCTTGCCAGCCTGCCTGCCTTCTCTCTCTCTGTCTCTCTGTCTCTCTGTCTCTCTCTCTCTCTCTCTCTGCTTTTTGGGTCACACCCAGCGATGCTCAGGGGTTACTCATAGCTCTGCACTCAGGAATTACTCCTGGCGGTGCTCCGCAGACCGGATGGGATGCCAGGGATTGAACTCAGGTCAGCCGCATGCAAGGGGAATGAACGCCCTCCCCGCTGTACTGTCGTTTTGGCCCCTGTCTACCTTCTTTCCTCCCCCGACCAGGGCAGTGCCAGGGAACTACCCCCATCTCTGTGCTTGAGGGTTCTTCTAGAAGTACCCTGGGGACCACAAGGTATGGGGGTTTGAACGTCGACCTCCATGTGTGCTAAGCCAATTAAGCTATATCTTCAAAAGCACATAGATCCTCTTATTTATTCGGGTTTAATTGATTAATTGATTTGGGTTTTAGGCCACACCTTCTGGTGGCCAGGGGGTACTACAGGATGATATCCCAGGACCACGTGGTGCCCTTAAAGCCATCTCACTGTTTCCCGTACATAAATTCTTGTAGTGGCCAATAGCACAGCGGGGAGGGTATTTGCCTTGCACATGAGCAACCCGGGTTCGATGCCCAGCATCCCATATGATACCCCGAGCACCGCTAAGAGTAATTCCTGAGCGGAGAGCCAGGAGAAATCCCTGTGCATTGCTTGGTGTGACCCAAAAAGCAAAAAAGAAAAAAAAATTCTTGTAGTGGTAAAAACAAGATTCTGGGCAAGTTTCCTACTCAGGAAAAGGCTCTTAAAACTCTCTGAAAGGTCGGGAACACAAGCTTAGTTGCCTCCAGTACCTGCGCCTGCCTTTGGCTGTCCACTCTCCGCAGATCACCAAACGCACGAAACAGGGTGGTTTATCTATCCCGCTAGCCAATCGCCAACTCCTCCATCCCTTCGGCGGTGGCCTGCGATGCGGGTCGCCTTCGGGTCCGGGCTTATTACAGGATCGACAGTTCTCTTTGTCGTCTATAGCGGGGAGAGGTTTCCTGGTGTGCGGAGAGTTTGCTTTTAATTGCATTTCCCCAACCAAATACACAGTCTCGGCCGGGGAGGACAGCCGCACGCATGCACGGTCACGTCCAGTCGAGCGCGCACCCCCCCAGTGGGCCCTTCGGAAGGGCTATGCCATCTGTTCCGGCCTGGCCAGATGCGGGAGAGCCCCCGAGGACACCTTCCCTCGGGCCGCGGAGACTGAGGCCATGCGTGACTCTCTTGGTCTTTTATCTTTTCTCTGATGGCAAAGCCACTCCCTCCCGGCGGCTTCGGGTCCCGGGCTGCGCGCGGCCGCTGGGGCTGCGGTTGTCTTTATTCCAGCGTCTCTCTCCAGCACAGCGTGCGCCTCTTCGATTCCTGGATCTCTCTTTAGTCATTTAACTTCATTTCTTCCCCTCCCCCCCATTGCCTGTTCATTTTATTTTCTCCTATTTTAAAATGGATAAGTTAGGGTGTCTAAATAAAAATTTTTTTATTATTTTTTTCTTTTGGGGTCACACCTGGCGGTGCACAGGGGTTACTCCTGGCTCTGCACTCAGAAGTTACTCCTGGCGTTGCTCAGGGGACCATTTGGGATGCTGGGAATCGAACCCGGGTCGTCCGCGTGCAAGGCAAACGCCCTACCCGCTGTGCTATCTCTCCAGCCCCTAAATAAAAAATTTTAAAAGAATATGAGAAAATAACAAAAAAAACATAGCTTCTAAGCTTTTATTCAAGGGATATCAGGGATGCAGCTCGGCTTGGGCGAGCCGCACAGAGAACAGGGTGGTCCGTGCAGCTGGAGAGTCGGACGCCAGCTGACCAGACCTAGTTGGCCACAGGCATTGGTAGCTCCCACTCAGGTCCGCGGGGTGGCTACCCACCGTCCAGAAACACCTCCTCAGTCAGCAAGAGCCTTAGAACCAATCAGAAACGCGGGCCTTGGAGTCCCACACGCCCACCCAGTGCCTACTTAAAAGAATGGAAACCCGCGGGGCCCTAAGCCTCCCGTCGCTGGGCGTCTCGCTCCTCAGCTTCTCTGAGCCTGTTAGGAAACCTCAGGGTCTGTCCCAGCCGGGCCTCAGAGTCTTGATGCTGGCCCCCAACTCCGCTTCTTCATTGTTCCAAGCGGTCACTAGCGTGACCTTGGAGCCCGGCCCATCTTGGGCATAATGTGGATGACCCTTGGGATGCCACCAGCCGCACAGTGCATGGTGCCCTTGTCCAGTTTCCCGTCCCACAGTGCAGCGCCCGCCTGGAGGGTATGTCTGGAAAGATCTGAGGCCAGGCTTCTCCACCTGGATGTTGTCAGCTGGCCACCTGCAGCTGCCTGGGAGTCAGGGTCCCCCCTACCAGCAACCCACATGGCGTGCCAGGAACCTGAGGCGACAGTCTGACCCTGAGTTTCTCCACTCTGGAGGTCCCGGTTCTATGTAGCATGCTCCAGGACTCATCCTAGGCGTCCTGTGCAGTTAGATGCATGCCGAGTCCTCCAAGGACCCCCAGCAGTTCCTGGCTATAAGTAAATTCTAACTGCCTTTACAGCTAAAGGGGAAGGCAAATCCCCGTGGGTGTTCTAGGGAACTGGCTTGAGAGGCAGGAGACCAGTCTGCTGTGGGATTTCCACTGAACTCACACATTTTGCTTCGTCCCCCTTTTCACCTATGAAACAGTATTTATCTGAAAATTTGATTTGTGGACTGTGAGATCTGAATTTTATACCTCTTACACATGGGGAAAGATTGTTCTTTTCATTTTTCCCAAGTGTTAAAAATTGGTCAAACCAGGGTGTGTGTCGCTAGGGGAAAAGGCAGCTCAGATAGAGAAGGGAACACCAAATAAAGGGGGTTGGGAGGTTCCTCTCAGGATGGGAAAAGCATGATGAAAGCAGACTATAGTCCGAACAAGATTGTCACTCAATGTCTCTTTTACAAACTACAGCACTCAAAAGGAGAGATAACAAAAGCGAATGCCCTGCCACAGGGTGGGATGGGGGGAATGGGGGTGGGAGGGATACTGGGACTGGTGGTGGTGGAGAATGGGCACTGGTGGAGGGATGGGTATTCGAACATTGTATAACTGAAACCCAAGCACAAAAATTTGTAAGTCTACAACTGTACCTCATGGTGTTTCACTAATAAAAATTTAAGGAAAAAAAAAAAACCCAAAAATCGGGGTGTGTGTTTTCTCTTCTGGAGTGTGTGTGTGGGGGGGCTGGCACTCGGTGTGCTCATGACTTCTGGCTGTGCGTGCGTGTGGCTGGTGGGGACTGAATCCAGAGTGGCCGTGTGCAAGGCAAGTGTCCTACCCACTGGACCATCTACCCAGCCCTGGAAGTCCTTTCTTCTATTTCACAAGGCACTCTCCTCTCTCAAGAAACTCCTTCTTTCCCGGGCATTCCTATCTGCTTTCCCAGCGCATGCATACAGGGCTTACTCCTGGCTCTGTGCTCAGGAATCACTGAGTCACGGTGCAGCTTGGGGGTCATAGCGGCTTGAACCCCGGTCCGCCACCTGTAAGGTGAGCGCCACAACTGCTTGGGACCTGGGCACAATTTATTTTCTTTTTAAATATAGCCTTTACCTAATATAGCATCTTTCGTTTATAAATTAGGGCCGGTGAGAGAGTTAGGAGGACTTATGATAAGGCCCAGTTGAATCCCCGGCATCACCTATCACCTAGTTCCCCGGTCAGCTCCGGGTGTGCACCCGGGACGGGGGGAAGATTAAAAAGCCAGCTGCAGAGAAGGTTGCAGGCTGTCTCCATTTATCCCCAGTAGGTAGTTTGCTGACGCCAGAGCCAGACTTTCTCCCACTGGCTCGAGTGGTTCTTGCCCCTGATGAGGCCTCTGAGGGCAGCTCCCTTTGAACTCAGTCCCGGGTTCCCTGCTGCCCAGTCCACGGCTCTTCACACCATCCACCGCTTCTGGCTCAATCCACGTGTTGCGGAAACGAGCGGGCCATCCCGGGCGCTGACCGCGCTGGGATTTGCCTCGGGATTAGTCACCAGCGGCAACCTGGTGTTGTCCAGGCCGAGCCCAGCTGGACACTCCCGCCCCCGTGCTCGCCGAGTCGCCGCCCGCTCATTGGTAGCCGCCGAGCAGCGGCAAACTTTGTTTTCAACTCCGAGAACGGGTTGTGCATCCCTCCCGAGCAGCCCCGGCTTCCGGGCCCGACTCGCGGGCGGCGATCGGGGTGCGGGTGCGGGGGGGTTGGTGCTGTCAGGGCGGGCGCGAGCAGGCGCGCCCGGTGCCCGCCCACCATGCGGCCCGCGCTGCGCGACAAGGCCCGCCTCAACGTGCCGTGGCTGGGCCGCTCGCCCAGCTCGCGTCTCGCCTCGCTGCCACCCCCGCCCCGCCGCGCGCCCCGGTGAGTCACGTGACGCGCCGCGTCCGCTTCCGCGCCTGCGCCGCCCCGCCCCCTGCGTCACTGCGGTGCGCCGCGCCTGCGCCCTGCGTCCCGGCGCCAGCCGCCACTTCCGGCGCGACCGCTTGCCGCTGGGCGCCCCACGGAGCCGAGCGTCCGCGGCCGCCGGACCCGCCATGGAGCGCCTCGACAAAGCGGCACTAAACGCGCTGCAGCCGCCCGACGTCAGGTAGCCCCGAGCGGCGGCCCGGGCTGGGAGGGGGCCCGAACCACGACCTGGAGCGTCCGGAGCCGGGGCGGGCCCCAGGGAAGAGTCGCGGCCGGACGGTGGGCGCACGGGGCGGGCTGGGGGGACACGGGAGAGGAATCCTGCGCGGCCCGCAGTCCCGGCTTGGGTCCCGGTCCCTCGCCCTCCGTCGTGCAGGTGGCGGTCCCGCAGTCTGGGCCCCACCCGCACCCCGAGGAATGAGTCCCCCTCTCCGGCTCGGGACCCCCCCCCCCCCCCCGTCGGCGGGGCTGGCCGCGGGCCGACGCCGCTTCGTTCGGGGAGCCCGTCGGGTGGATCGGGGTGCGAGTGGTCGGTATCCCAGAGTCCCCGATTCCGGCTCGCTGAGCCCGGTTAGAACGGGGGTGGGGGTGGGGGGAAGGTGCCGAGGGCCAGGCCTGGAGTTCCTTTCCTCGGCAGAGTTCCCAAAGTTTTCGCTTCCTGATTTTAAAGACGATGATATTGACTCAGAGCAAGTAACTGACACGTGCCGAACCACGAGGCCGGCTTCGCGCGCAGGAAGTGTCGAAGCTGCTCTTCGCCCGGCCCACCCACTCTGCCCGTGATCCTTGAGGCTCCGTGGCCTTGGCAGGGCCACAGTCTCAGTGTCGTGTCAGGTCTGGCCACTGCTCTCTAAGAGGCACATGCCAGCATCTGTAGTACCCCAAACTCCTCACTGACGGCTCGCTGGTGGCCGAGAGATGTGGCCCACCCTGCTCAGTGCTGGCTGTAAACTTGTAGAAAGCGGGTAAACTGGTACCGAGGATGGGAATTGTGTACGTTTCGTCCTGAATTATATCTTTTGTGTGAGGCCAAGTCTAAATGTGGACTTTTGCATTATTTAACGAGTCTCAGAAATGTCCCGATCAACACCACAGCTCAGGGACCCCGGAAAGAGAACAGTTGCACAACAGCAGATGATTGTTTTAGAATAAATCACTGGCCCTGCCCAAACTGGTTTGCACCAGTAGACTGCCCAACTGCCCTTGGCTGTGACTGGCAGCCAGAAGTTCACTTGTTTTCAAAAGAGTGTATAGTAAACTTTACTCTGAGTCCCATATTTATGAGGTCAGGACACAGATTGAAAGGCTCATTTAGGGACCTTAAAGTGGAAAGTTGAAAATAAACTACAAATTGTTATAGAAGGCGCTATTTCTAGTATGTTGAGCTAGAAATTTAGGTGCAGAAAAGATGCTAAACTTCTCGTAGCCAGACCAGATAATATTCAAATACCATCCGCTAAAGAACAAAAAAGACAGTTAAGCTTCCTTTTGTAGTCTCAAGCTTCATTTCTCTCTCTGGCTAGAGAATGTGAAAATTTCATACCCCATACACATGCTTTAACTCACCACAAAAGCACCAAAGAACAAGTTTTCTTAAAAACAAGAATTTGGAAGGAGAGGTGATAGACACAATAGTGGAACTACTGCAAATGTGCATATTCTTGAAGATTAACACTCTCCTCCCATTGTTCATCTATATGCTAGATTTGGTAGAACGGGCACAGTAAAGTCTCCATTGTGAGACTTGATACTGTGTTTTTGGCATATCAAATATGCCACGGTGAGCCTGCCAGGCTCTGTGGTGCGGGTGGGATACTCTCGGTAGCTTGCCGGGCTCTCAGGGATGAAAGACTCGAACCCAGGTCGGCTGAGTGCAAGGCAAACTTCCTACGCGCTGTGCTATCGCTCCAGCCCCCTTGAAGATTACACAATCAATAAATTTCCTTTAAAGAGCACCTTCTCGGGCACAGTTGCAGTGAACTTAGGTATGTGAGGTGAGAATCGAGTGGCACAGTGGCCTATGTTAAAAGATGATTCAAAAGTTGTCAAAAGTATTAGATTGTTCACATACATTTATTGTTTATTTTATTCTGGTTTTGTTTTCTGTTTTAAATCGTAGAATGTATCTTCAGTTTATACCTTATTTTAAAAATATGCCTGAGTGGGCCATGTGTTCCTTACTCTAGTGATGGGTTTTACAGAAACTCTCAGAAGGCTGGAGAGAGTGTGGTGAGGGGCCAAGGCACCTTCCTTGCATGTAGCTGAGCCGGGTTCCATTCCCCGGCATCAGCATCACATATGGTCCCCCCAGACTCCACTAGGAGTAACTCTACCACAACTGCTACCCTGTGTGGCCAGCCCCCCTCCAGATGGAAACCATTGGTACAAATTTGAGATGCTTCCTTTTTTGGCTACCAGAAAACTCCCTGCTGCTGACATAATTTAAGAATTCCTGAGCCTGAAAAATGAAGTCATGAAATTTGCTTATAGATGAAAGGACATGGAGAGTATCATGCTGAGTGGAATGAGTCCAAAGGAGAGAGACAGAATGAGTGTGCTCATCAGTGGGATATATAAGAAGACTAGTGCCCATGGATGGTAAAAACAAGAACCAGGAGGATTGGTCCACAGATGGAAACTTGCCAGAAATAGGAGGGCACAGGGAGGGCTGTTAGGGTAGAGTAGCAACCAGTATGCCAGTGATAGTTGGAAATGATCCTTCTGGGCATGATAACCTCTCAGTACCTGCATTGCAAACCAAAGTGCCCAGAAGGAAGGAGAGAGTGAGGAGAGCAAGAAAGAGGAAAAGTTCCTGCCATAGAGGCAGGCTGGGGTGGGGAACTGGGCAATTAGTGGTGGGCAGTGTCCAGTGGTGATGGGTATTAGAACACCGACAGAAACCCAGTCATGAACAACCTTGGAACTGTGTGTCTCACAATGATTAAAAACAAAAGAATTCTTGAGGCTGGGCTTTCTGGGGTAGGAGGGCCTTGGAGTACTGAGCCTGAACCAGGAGGCTGACCCCTGTGCACCACCAAAAGAACCTGGAGCCCCTAGCTGAGGGCTGCCAGAAAGTGAAGTCTGACTGTTGCCTGTGAGCTTCGAATTAGAAGTGTGCTAGGTAGTGTAGCGAGGGTTTATTTTAGCAGTCCAGGATCTCAGACAAAACGAAGAGAGCTTCAGTGCTCTGGGCTTTTCCGTGGATCAAGTGATAGGTGCAGGGTGCCTAGGTTTCCGGGACCTTCAGGCTGTTGCATTTTCAGCAGTGCACACAGGGCCAATTCAGTGTCTGCCTAGTGAGAAATGCAGTAAAGTAACAAATGGGAAAATAGTTTTGTATGTTATCTTGGCATCCTTTTTCCTGTGCATATATTTTCCCCCGTTCAGCTGGACTAGCAGACATTGGGGTGTGGTAGCAGTTTTCAGCCTGGAATCAGATCATGCAGATTCCAGGTTTTAAGGGCCAGCAGGTTGGCACATGGAGCTGCAGACAGAGCAGACTCGGAAGGCTTAGCCTGCAGGCTTTCTGTGCCTCGGGCCTCGTTTCCTTCTTGTGGCTCCTGTCCTCCTCGCTAGCACTTTAGTCTCCTGCTGTGGCCCACTTGAAATATTGTGACCACCCATGGGGCAGGGCTTGGCCCTGTGGCCCCAGGGGAGGAAGACTGAGCTGACAGGTACGGCTCTGTTCCCACTGTTGCTTTGCATACCCGGAGCAAGATCTTGTTCATTGGTCCTGTGGATATTTTCTAAGTTTTCACCAAAATTCTTTTTAACGTCTCGATATACTATATGTCATTTGCAAATTAATCTTCCCCTTATTGGAGGTTTTAAAATATTACCCAGTTTCCTTTGTGCTGTTTTGTGACTCTTGATATTGTTAAGGTTAAAAGTGTATCGGGCGCAGAGCAATAGGACAGTGGGTAGGGCATTTGTCTTGCACAAGGCCGACCTGGGTTCGGTCCCCAGCATCCCATATGGTCGCCCGAGCACTGCCAGGAGTGATTCCTGAGTGCAGAGCCAGGAGTAAGTCCTGTGCACCGCCGGTGTGATCCCCAAAGCCAAAAAAAGAGTCTGTCAGACTTGTTTTTCTTTATTTTTATTTTTATTTTTATTTTTATTAGTGAACCACCATGAGGTACAGTTGTAGACTTACAAATTTTTGTGCTTGGGTTTCGTTTATACAATGATCAAATACCCATCCCTCCACCAGTGAGTATATAAATTTAAAAAGCGTGATTGCATTCTTCATAATAGAACCAGTGTATATTGGAATGACACTCTTCCATTGCATATTTCTTTGATTTTCAAATAGTCTGTGGATTCTGAGAATTCACTGGGCACTGAGACTGGAGAGGGAGTGTGGTGGGTATGGCACAGCCAACCAAGGTTTGAACCCTGGCATCCCAAAGACAAACAACAACAATAAGAATTCACTGTACAGGCTGTGTTTTAATACCAGACTTCTTAAAACTTGTACTTTAAGTTTTTTTTCTCAGGGTCACACCCAGTGGGGCCAGGGCAGGCACAATCCCAGCGGTGCTTGCCTTCACAATGCAGAAATAGCAGTTCAGTTCTACTTTGCGGTGATGCAGTACTCTTTGGGGGCAACCATGGTCACCTGTATGATGCTGATGAGGTTTGTGTGGCTTCAGGGACCAAACTTGGGGCCTTTTTCTTGCTGAGAAAGAAGAAGAGCCAGGAGTAACCCCTGAGCCTCACTGGGTATGACTAAAATTCAGAAAAACCGGTCCCTTGCAAGACCAACTCTGGTGATCTCTTTTGTTTTGTCATTCAGAAAGACTTTGATTTTAGATTAGTATTCAGCTGTCCCCATGACCACAGCATAAAACTTTTAATGCCTCCATGCTAAATGAAGACTATCTAAAAGGTACTGTAGGTATTTAATTACAACGAAATTGGAGTGTGTTTGCTTCGGCACCAAGATTGTTCTAAGATTATGGGTGCTTGTCCTACCTGATTTGTATGGTCTTCCCCTAACCATTAATAGGATGCTTAGTGAAGAAGGGTCTTGAGTTGGTTTTGTGTATCTTCTCCCTGGCCACCGAACTGTAAATTCTGCAGTTGTGCACAGCACTTTGGAGACGAGAAGCCACTTTTGCAAATAGACTCATGTTGCTTTCTGGGTTGTGAAGGAAAGTCTCTGGGAGGGGGGTCCGCAGCTGGGTTTCTAACCTTTGCCCATTTTGAATCCCCCGCCCCATTTTGCTGTCCTTCCTGTGTCCACTGCATCCAAGACAAGGCTAGTTCCCAGCGTCCTCTCTGTGGGTTATATTGTTTATGGACCCAGTGGTTGCAAATAGTTGTGCAGCTTCTGATTTTCTCTTTGTTTACTTTATTCCAGAAATGAAAGTTCATTAGCATCTACCCTGAAGACGCTCCTGTTCTTCACCGCTTTAATGATCACTGTTCCCATTGGGTTATATTTCACGACTAAGTCTTATGTATTTGAAGGTAATCTTAGACCGCAAATCAAGGTGCTTCCCATCCTTACTACGTTCAAGCGTCCGTGCTGTTACGACCTCATCTCGAGCTGTAAACTGGGTATTCTTAATCTTAGTCCCCATGAAATGAACGTTCTCAGCACTGTTAGTTATTTTAGCTCGACACCGTCATTCAGGCTTCCTGTGAAATAGCTTGTGGATCCTATTGTTTAGTACCTCTCTGAGAGCAGGAGTTGGCCGCTGTGGGGAGGAACCTGGGAGTGTGTACTTTTTGTGGCAGACGCTGGAAGGAAGAGATTAGACATTCTTCCTTTTGATGCTCAAGTTCTCAGATGAAGTGACAATTCTAGTTTTCATTCAAAACAATTTCCTCTGTAGAGAGAAGGTAATCAGGTCTTTTAACAAGTACTTGATTTATCACTGAAGGGTTAGTTTGTATTCCATTATCATTTGTGGTGGCTGGGATTGAATCCAGGGCCTCACACGTCTGGGACAAGTACTCAGCTGCTGACCTGCGTCCCAGCCCTAAAGTGTTGCTTTTAAATTGCCTGACCAGTTAAGTAGATCTGTTATTGATGAAAATTCGTTTCCCACTGGAATCAACTTGTTTTTTCTCTTGATAGGCGCCTTTGGGATGTCCGCTAGGGACAGCTATTTCTATGCCGCTATTGTTGCTGTGGTCGCCGTCCACGTGGTGCTGGCTCTCTTCGTTTACGTGGCCTGGAGTGAAGGGTCACGGCAGTGGCGAGAAGGCAAACAGGATTAATGTCAACATCACGTTTTGCTAGTATTAAATTGATTTTTTTACAATGGTAGACGCTTCTGGGGTAGTCATGATTTCAATAAAGTTGAAAGAACACGTTCAAATCAATCTCAAGGAGTCACATTTGACAAGTATAAATGTTGATCCTACTAATACAATGTTTTGTATTATCAGTTTTAACTGTATGAACCTCTTATTTACAGATGAGAGTTTGGGAGTTTAAAGTGGTTGCAAATAAGTGTCAACTTAGTTAACATTGTGCTTGGAAGAATTGAAGTATCTTAAAATTTGTCTCATAGCATCTGGCCTTCTGGTTAGTTTTGAACATTACTCCTCTAGTTAAATTAAGATGTATGTATTCAGCGAACCCAGTCCGAACTGGGTTCTGGAATATTTTGTCTAACTATTATGAAAATAGCAGGCCACAGGATTTTCCCTTGTGAATTCCTATGGAAAATTGTTCTGTGAATTAATCTGAATGTCACTGATAGATTTTTCATGAATTGTAATCCCTGGACTCCATTTCTTTATTTCCTGGGGCAGCCATGCTGAGTCATACCCATTGCTGTGATGGGATGGTTTTCTGGGGAATCGAGGTTTTGAGGCCGGGAATCAGCCCCCAGTTCCTCAGCCTGCTCTCCGAACGTCCCGGCGGGTGGGCTGGGGAGATACTACAGCAGGTAAGCTGGTTGCCTTGCTTGCAGCCGACTTGCATTCGATCCCCAGCACTCCATGTGGTTCCCGCAAGCACCACCAGTCGTAATTCCTGAGTATAGAGCCGGGAGTAAACCATCACTGGATATGGCCAGAAACCAGGAAAAAGGCCCCTTGCAGGACAGCCTTGTCCTTTATACCAATTCTGCCGATCTCCTTTGATCTGTCGTTCAAAAAGACCGTGTGATTTTTAGGTTAGTATTCAGCTGGTGTTCTCTCCAGCCTCTTGATACTTCTTGTATGCCATCCCAAACACTCCTGGAAGATTGCAAACTGAAGCGGGAAGAAAACTTTCAGATCTCTGTCCGTTGTCGCCAGGAGATAACTACTACTGTGGTTGACATCCAGTGTGCGTGTCCTGGGGGTAGTCTAATACTCACTGAAAATCCGGTTTAAGATCACATTCTGCCAGCCTCACCTGCATCTTTTCACTTGAGTGCTTGGTGGTCATTTACTCAGCAACAGCACCTGCTTTCATTCTTTTAACTAGAAATGTTAAAGTATTCCGTTAGTGAGAATTCCCATGGAACTGCCCATCTGTGTTTGCCATTACTGATTGATTTGTTCACCCCTATTTTTGATGTTGTGGAACTGGACTAAAATATAGAGAGCTATTATTATGACAAAACCAGGAGATATTTGTATATATTGCTGAGAAAAAATATGCTTATTGTCGGATTATTTTTTATTCTTATAGATAAAAGTAATCTACAGGTCAAATCTCTTCTTTGAGTAGCTACTCTAAGTATAAAGTGTTTTCTTAAGACAATTTTAGCATAAAGTTGTACAAATTTAACATTGTAGAATATCCCTATTTGAATTCTGGATAGTGTAGTAGATTTCTTAGGTGATTCCTTCTTCAGATGCCTTGTCATGCCTAGAATTGTTCACCTGTTTTCTTTTTCTATATTGTTAAGATTTTTCTTGTAATTTGGGGATACTGGGCAATTTATAAAGTATTAATGCCCATTATTGGATTATTTTGTTTTCAGACATTTGCTATGTAGATATGATATGGGTATTTTCCTGCAAGTGTTTAAATCGGGACTACACACAAAATCAGTTGTAATTTCCTCTCAGAAAAACATGCCAACAGTTTGTAAGCTGGGATTGGATGTTAGGATTACTGTAGCACTGTCGTCCCGGCGTTCATCGATTTGCTCGAGCGGGCACCAGTAACGTCTCACAACAAATTGTGAGACTTGTAAGATTAGTAGAATATAGGTCTGCCTTTAAGCCAGTTAATTTACTCCTATGGGTTTAACTGTTAATTTACTTGTTTGTTCTGTTGAAACAACATATGATATTGGCTAAACAGGTTTATTTTTTGTGATGTTTCATTTCCTCTTGCACCGTGTACATACTTCAGGATGTACAGAAAGAAATGTTCGATTTGGGCCCTGAGACAAATTTGAAGATGTGACTATATTCACTGTTGTTTGAAAGCTACTATGAGAATAATGTCAGAAAGTAGAGCTTGAAATGTCAGTATGAGGTACTGACTTCACTCTGTTTCACCTAACACATCGCCTTTCTCACCTCAGTTCTCATTTTGCCCTCAGAGTATAATCATTTTCCCCATTGTGCTCGAAGATAATAAGTCTGCTGTAGAATGCATCTGATGTCATTAGCTTGTCAAGTGGGTACCATTTTACATGTAATAGCAGGATTCAGTTTTGAATTTGAATAAGCCTTTATTGGGGGAAAACAGGCCCGTTTCATGGAAATCTAACATACTTTTTATGCTAACAAATGCATTGTAATAATTCAGGACAAATTTGGAGATATGAACTTAATCTGCAGTTTTCATAAAAAATCTCAGAATCTTTTCCAAAACAGGCAGCTGATTGGTATTTATTTTCCATTTCCAAACTTTTTCTATACAGCTAGAGTACCCATAGAAACCCAGAGAAACAACTAAATACGGTGTCCCCAAGGATAGCTGTGACACGGCACGTGAAGTAAAACAGTTTGGAGCTTAAGGCTGATGTATCTGTATTTCTCCCTAGACAAGCTCCTGTTTATTGTTTCACTTGTGCTTAAGTTGGCTTGTAGAATCTTGTTACGCCCATTGTAAAAATGGTTGATTCCTGTATTTTGTCCCAGTTTGTCCCTTTTCTTAGGTCAGTAGTTCATTTCTCTGCGGTCAGGCACCCTTTGTCTTCCCCAGGCTCTACCCTTAAATTCAGGCTCTCCTCTTACATGTCAGAGTTCTTATAAGAACTGGCCTGAAGCATCATCTTCACTTTTTTTAATTCTATTTTTATGAAGTTGTTCACAATAATTGATTACATTCAATATTCCAACACCAGTTCCACCGCCATTATTTTGAATTTTCCCACTCCAACCTGCCCCAAAGGCAGATCTTAAATAATTTATTTTGTATAGCTTGTTATGAATAATCCACTAAAAATGATTCAGAAAGGTTTCCTTAGAGAAAAGTGTTGAAAATCGTTGTATCTCACCTTGGAGCAATTAAGCCCCTGTATGAGAGATCACTAACATGTTACAAGTTGAGTCTTGTGTGCTAATATTATATATTCTTTGGATCAAGATTGGTTGCCTTCTGCTTTACACCTCACCAAACGTACATCAGTGGCATCAAGTAGGAGATTTCGCTCCAGGAAATCTAAAATTTTAAATAGGGTGATAGAGCTGGAGTTAAAATGTTTTTAACTGGATGGTGATTTGGGGGTCTGGAAGCAGCTCTTCAGCGTGTTGCTCTCTTCTGAGATTTATTTGTGAGTTTCTGGATTATGCCCGTTAATGAGCTTACATGGCGCCCAGAGGCAGTTGGTGGGCATAACAACTTTCAACAAGATCTTGTCTTTTAGGGGTAAAGGACTTCCAGAGAAAAATACTTTTTAGGGATCCTGGGAAATTAACATATAATATGTGACCTGCATAAGATTTTATATGCTTATTAGAACAGTCCAAAATTCCTGGACTTTTCACTCCTGGCCACACTTTCCTTGCCTGTTTTATTGCTACTCATACTTGAAAGTAATATCTATTCCTTATAAGCTGTTTTCTAAGTCATATTTGTCAGTTACACAGAATAATTTTCTTTTTTTTAAGTTCAGTGAAATCTCACCGAACAGTAAGAATAGCAATAGCTAACAACATCTGCACAGCACCTTACAGTTTGCAAAGAAAGTTCACATGCTCTTTTTTGAGTTTTGCATAGTGAACCTGTTACGAGATGTCTCTTGACATCGATGCTGAAAAGTTGTAGGATTTTGAAATCGCTCGAGCCGTGGAATGCGCTGTAGTCATGAGCAGAGCCCTGAGTACGGGCGGCCTTTAGAAGCGCCCCATTTAAAGCCGTGTAATTATCAAAATGGGAAGCTGGAGCTCTGTAGTCACCTGAACCAGATTTCCTGTTGCAAGTGATGCTTTTCTAACCATTATCTGGATTGATTTTGTATTCATTATATTCTATCCTGTGATTTGTATCAATTAACCATCTGTTGTCATTAAAGTTTGTTCATAACGCTACTTCCATGTGTCCGGACTGATTTCCTAATAAGTTCATTAACCTGTTTGTGTTCTGCTTTGGTTTGGGGGCTGCGCCTGCGGGTGCTCAGGGGACCATGGAGTGGGGACTGAAGCCTGGCCCCTGCATGCGCTCAGCTTCCACCTCTCTCCACTTCGAACCTTCCCACTTTTTGATGTGTGAGCCCCTGTGCCTTGGAGAATATGGGCAGAACTCTCATCTTCGCTATTTATAGAGATGCTATGCCAAACACAGTAACAGCGAGTCTCATGATGGAGACGTTACTGGGCCCGCTCGAGCAAATCGATGAACAACGGGAGGACCGGACCGTGGATAGAGATGCTCAAATTGGTGGTGGTGGTGGGGGGGTCGTCAGAAGGGGCCCGTTCTGCAGTGGGCCCATTTGAGTTGGAGAGGGCGGAAATGCAGTTGAACAGTGACAGGGAATCTGGTATGGGAGGTAAAGGGAGCAACGGAGAGACCCAAGAATGGTTTCTTCAGGCATCTATCTGTCCTGTGTGGGGCCCGCCTTCCCGCCCCTCCACCCCTGTGCTTGCATTTCTCTGTACTTCGTACCTTCGTACTCACTCTGCTGTCGGGCCCTTTAAAGATGCATTTAGGACAACCTTTGTAGAACATGCAGTTCGTTGGTGAGCACTTTCTCCCTCCCAGGAGCATGCGGTGGCCCAGAGGGAAAGACGTTGCACAGGCGCTTCCTGGGTCTCTTCTCTGCTATTTCTGCCTGGCACCTCAAACGATTCTCTCGCGCTTCTGCTTTTCTGCTCTCATAGCCGCTGCACCACAAAGCCCCGAATTTCCTTCAAAACTATTGCCATGGGGCCAGGCTAATCACTGAAAGGGCTGGGTGGGTGCTTTGCAGACAACTGACCCTGGGTTTGAGCCCAGGCACTGTCTGGTCTTCTGGGTGAGCCCTACACCGAGAGTGTCTTCCCCCCAAACCCCCGCCAAGCACAAGCTGAGTAGCCCCGAGTACCACTGGCCATAACCCCAGGATTGAAAAAAAAATGATCCAACAAGATCTTCACCTTGTCTGTAAGCTCTGGTCTCCTAGGGGCAGCTTGTGAGGGAGGCCGCTGGCCTCCGTGCCTCCGTGGCTCAGCCTTTACCAGCCTCCCCACCCACAGGACTTCTGTCTCCTCCCAGCTGCTCCCCTGCTCCCAACCCGGTGCCTACTTCCAGCCACAATTGGATGCCGCCCTAGCGAAGCCTTCCTTGTCTACCCAATGGGGAGAAGCAGGTGCCCTGTGCCTTACACACCACCTACCACCTGGACTTCTTTAGTACCTGCCACCCGCCAGCACGCGGGCACTGCCCTGCCACTGAGCCCCCCTAAGGAGCAGGTGCCATGGTCGCAGCTGGCCAGCCAGGGCCAATCCAGTCCTTAGGATTAGGGCTCCCTGGCTCCGATGTGCTCTCTGCGTGGACATCTGGTACAGGGGGTCCCGTGGTGTCATTATGACAGCATGTCCACCACTGTGGTGGGCCACAGCCTTCCACCACAGTCATCCCTGGGCTGTGCTTGGGGCTAACTCATGGTACACGCCCACCTGTGGGCCAGTCACATTGGCCAGGCAATGCCAAGCTTGGGTTTCTGCTTGGACCGGTGACTAGCTCCAAACTGGTCACTTGGGAGCTGGTTTGCTTGGGCCACGCCATGTCCACTCCCAAGATGGGTTTGCCGCCATGAGGTTCAGTTCAGATTGGGGAAGTGGCGGGGTCCCTACAGACATGCGGCTGTGGCCGCGGGGATGGGTGTGGATGTTGGGATGGAGGGCCAAGAGGCGTGTCCTTGGCTTGACCTTGTTGCTTTTAGCCCATCCCTCCTTCCCGTCATTGTTGTTGATGTGCCTGTGGTGAAGGGGGTACATGCCTCCCTGGCCGTGCGACTCCCACATTTTTTTAAAGTTTTTAACATTTATTAAACAGTAGCATTTTGTACAAGTAAGTTATATTGTTCAGGATTTTTAAAATACAAAACAGTACATTTATATTCAAAGAAATTTGAAAAGTGTCAATTTTAACGCTGCAAATTTTGTAGAGAACTTTGATAAATAGATTCAAGAAATATTTTTATGGGGTCAGTTATCTATTACTGTTGCAATAATTATTATTTTATCTGACTGAATTTAAATCTTCATGATGATGAATTTATCAGAGTTTCTTGGTAACTTGTAAGTAAGGCTTGGAATCTGTTTCCAATTGACAGGTCTTATTGGGTGCAATTTTTTTTTAATTTTTATTTTTAATAGACATGAGGTACAGTTGCAGACTTCCACATTTTTGTGCTTGGGTTTCAATTATACAATGACCAAATACCCATCCCTCCACCAGTGCCCATTTCCCACCACCACGGATCCCAGTATCCCTCCCACCCCCCATCCCCCCATCTCACCCTGCCTCTGTGGCAGGGCATTCCCTTTTGTTCTCTCTCTCTTATTGGGTGTTGTGGTTTGCAAGAGAGGCATTGAGTGGCAATCATGTTTGGTCTATAGTCTACTTTCAGCATGCTTCTCCCATCCTGGGAGGATCCTCCCAATACCCTTTATTTGGTGCTCCCTTTTCCCCTAGCATGTGTGGTTGGCCTCCAAGCCATGGAGCGACTCCCACATTTTTATGCTACTTTTTTTGGTGGGACGGGGAGTAGTTTGGGCTACACCTGGCGATGTTCAGGGCTGACTCATGCTTCCGCTCTCAGAGTCACTCCTGGTGCTGCTTGGGAACTGAGTGTATGGGGTGCCGGGGATCAAATCCAGGCCGGCTGCTGGCACGGTGAGCTCCTTTCCCACTCTACTCTCTTTCCCACAGTTTTAGTTATAGTGCTCACCGGTTGCAGTGCTCATCCCCTTGGCCGCGGTGCTCACCACAGATTGCAGTCCTTGAGTTGTTTGCTTGTGCCCATGCTTACCAGGTTACACACATGCCACACACAAGTTACACTCGTGGTCGCTTCCCAGCTGTGGGTCTTACTCAGCTGTTTGCAGTTACTCCCTCCCCCTTGGCAGTGCAGCATGTGGCATCGGAAACAGGAACAGCAGGGTAGAGCTGCCGGGCTTACGCAGCAGAGCCGTTAAAATTGCACTTGGCACATGCGGGTCACCAGAGACTTTGCCTCACGACCACATGCTTGTAAGGAGAGTGCTTAGCCTTGTGTTATGATTATTCCTCCAAACAATAAAAATTCCTTTTTTGGTGGTACCCTGGGATTGAGCCTGAGGCCACACACCCACAGGGAAGGAGATGCTTTGCCATCAAACTACATCCCTGACCCTGAATCCTGTTTTTTTGTGTGTGTGCTGCTGTAATTGAACCCAGCATGCAAATTAACTGTGCTACCACATCCGCAACACTAGCCAAATCATGTAATCACTCTAAATACCCATCCCCAGACGTCTGGATAGGGAAGCCGTGGTGTGTATACTCCATAGAATCTGCTCATGAAAAGATGAAATTGTGTGCTTTGAGACAATGGGCGGGTCTTGAAATGCTGGCGCTAGAGAAATAAGGAGGTGAAAGGCGAATGCGGGCTGGTTCCACTCCTCTTTGGAACATGATTAACTGAAACAAGTAAAACGGTGAGAACACAAATTAACAACTCCCGGGGCTGGGGTGATACCACAGCGGGGAGGACGTTTGCCTTGCACGTGGCTGACCCGGGTTCAATTCCCAGCATCCCATATGGTCCTCTGAGCACTGCCGGGAGTAATTCCTGAGTGCAGAGCCAGGAGTAACCCCTGTGCATCACCGGGTGTGACCCAAAAAGCAAAAAAAAAAAAACACACACACACACAAAAACAAAAATGAACAACTCCAAGGCCCGGTGAAAACAATGTGACCTGAGGGAAAGGGGGTGGTCGGGTGAGTGGGTCACTGTCACTGTCACTGTCCTCCCGTTGTTCATTGATTTTCTTGAGCAGGCCCAGTAATGTCTCCATTGGAGACTTTGTTGTTACTGTGTTTGGCATATCGAATACATCACGGGTAGCTTGCCAGGCTCTGCCCTGCAGGTGAGATACTCTCGGTAGCTTGCCGGGCTCTCCGAGAGGGGCGGAGGAATCGAACTCGGGTCGGCCATGTTGGTTGCGTGCAAGGCAAACGCCCTACCGCTGTGCTATCGCTGGGTAGAGGCGTCCTTTTGGTTCTGGCTTGGCACTACGCCATTGGGAGTGTGGGGGTAGAAGTGGTAAGAGAAGTGTGAAGCTAACTAAGCCAGTGATAAATCATTTTAAAGTCAAAAATGGGCCATGGAGGTGGCTCGGTGGGCTGAGCATATGCTTTTTATGTATGAGACCTGGGTTCCATGTCTGGTACTGAATTGTCCCGTAAGCACCGTCAGGAGTCACTGCTGAACGCAGAGCCAGGAGAAGTTTCTAGGTGCCACTGGGTATTGCCCCCAAATAAAATTCCACAATTCCACTGGATATTGCCACTGGATATTGCCCCCAAATAAAATTTAATTTGTAGTAATTCCACAATTCCAAATGAGAAAAATTTTTTATGCGGTTACCTCTTTTAACATTGCTTTTACTACTGATAATCAACTTTATAATATCCTCAGATATGATCACCTTCAATGCAAGAGGTTGAGCACAGACCATTGGGGTGGCCCTCTCACCAGAAATAACTTGTTTTATGTCACAAGGCGCAAGCTTCCTGATTCCTAATCACACACAGAATGTATATACTTATTTCAACAATGTAAGTGTTAGTATGTTGGATATTTCATTACTTAAAAAATTATTTTACTAAATGAGTCAGAAAGAGAGGGATAAACATAGAAAGATTGCATTCATCTGGGGAACATAAAGTAACAAAATAGGAGACTAACACCCAAGAATGGCTGAGATTAGTAGCAGGAATTTTGCTCCATGGCTTGGAGGCCAGCCACACATGCTAGGGGAAAAGGCAGCTCAGATGGAGAAGGGAGCACCAAATAAAGGGTGTTGGGAGGATCCTCCCAGGATGGGAGAAGCATGCTGAAAGT